ATTTCCTCCAACTCATCTCATAAGGCATTGTTCTTCATGGGAGCATCAAGTGCTTGTTAGTGATGTGTAGTACTCCATTGTGTGTGTGTGTGTGTGTGTTAGAGTTTTCTAATCCACTCGTCTATCGATGGAAATTCAGGTTGTTTCCAATTCTTTGCGATTGTGAATTGTGCCCCAATAAACATTGGGCACAGACGACTGTTTGTGGTCTGTTTCTTACCTCTTCTGGGTATATTCCCAGTAGAGGGATTGCTGCATCGTAAAGTAACTCAATTTCCATTTGCCTTAAATATTACCAGATTGTTTTCCACAGTGGCTGTATGTATCTACACGAACACCAGCAGTGGAGGAGAGTTCCTGTCTCACCACATCCCCTCCCAACATTTGTTGCTGTCTGGTTTTCTGATTTGGGCTATCCTCAAGGGTGTTAGGTGGTATCTCATAGTTGTTGTAATTTGCATTTCTCTGATGGCTAATGATTGGGAACATTTTCTCATAGGTTTATTGGCCATCCAGGTCTCGTCCTTGGTAAAACATCTTTTCAGGTCACTTGCCCACTTCCTCAGTGATTTAACTGTTTTCTTTCTGTAGATTTTAGTAATAAGCCCTTTGTCTGTTATGTCATTGCTAAAAATCCTCTCCAAGTCTGTGGGCTCTCTCATTGCTCTCTCTTGATGAAGTCTTTCGACATACATGTGTTTTATCCTTCATATATCCCATTTGTCATTTTCCGCTTCATCAGTGTGTATGTACCCTTCCCTATTACAGTTAGCCTATGTATATTCCCTGAGCCAAGGTTCTTAGGTTTGTCCCAAAAATTCCTTCTTTGATGGTCCTGATAGTTCAAGTTTTACTTCTAGGTCTGTGCTCCACCTTGAGTTTGTTCTTGTACATGGGGTGAGGTAAGGGTCTTGTTTCCTTTTTTCTACAGTTGGATATATATTGTTTCCAGCACCACTTGTGAAAGAGGGCATCCACCTCCCACTTAATGCTTTTGGGGCCCTTGTTGAGGATCAGTTGTCTATATGCTGATGGTTTTATTTCTGGGTTTTCTGTTCTTTTTTATTGGTCTGAGTATCTGTCATTGTTCCAGTGCCCTGGTGTTTTGACCACTATGGCTATATAGTAGGTGTTAAAGTCAGGTAAGGCGAGCCCTCTGACTTTGTCCTTTTTTTTTTTTTAAACATTTTATTAGGGGCTCATACAACTGTTATCCCAATCCATACACACATCAATTGTGTAAAGCGCATTTGTACATCGTTTCTCAAAACATTTTCTCTCCATTTAAACCCCCAACATTAGGTCCTCATTTTTCCCTCCCTCCCCGCTCCCCCCTCCCACATGAGCCCTTGATAGTTTATAAATATCACTAGATACTGCAAAAGCCTTTGGCAAAATTTAATATGGTTCCTTAAGTATGGGTGAGGAAGAATCAAGAATATAGTGACCGCTATTATTAAAAGCAGAAAGAGAATATCAGGTTTAAAAAAATGGATGGGTAAATAAATTCTTAACTCTTTAATGAGAGAAACTATAAAGACAATTCCATTATGAACAAGTCATGCAGCCCCAATGTCTTTTCCACATTGTACTAAAAGTATTAGTCAATGCTGTTAAGAAAAATCCATTCAAAGCATATAAGAGTTATAAAAAGTAAAGCTGTCTATGTGCAGGTAATATATGATATAACTGAAAATTTTACAGAATCAATTTTATAAGGAAAGATTTGACAAGGTAGCAGTAGATGAAATTAATATGGAGAAATCAGTTCTTTGATATATAAACAACAACTATTTAGAAGATAAAATGATTGAGAAAAGCCTACTTATAATATAAACAACAGAAGATCAAATAGTAAGAAATATATAAATTACATACATAGAGTTAAATGAGGGAAAATGTAAAACACTCCTGGATGCTGTTAATAGTAGACTAAAGTAATGGAAAGATAGCCCTTAATTTGGGCAAAGATAACTCAATATTAGAAAGCTATGAGTTCTAATTTTAATTGTGTTAAACAATCCCAATAAAAGTATCTCCCAGTTCCTTAGTGGAGAAAGACAAGTTAAATTGTGTTCCTATATAAGAATTCAGTGTAACTGGAAGAAAGCTGTAGGAACTATATATATCCCTACCAGATACTAAGCATACTATAAAGTCATTTTAAAATGAAAACACTAGGGTACTGGCACATAAATAAATAAATCAGGGAAATAGAATATATTGTCTCAGAAAACACCAAAACACGTATGGAAATTTCATATGTGATAAAAAGCACCATCTTCAATCACTGGAATTTTTAACAAATGATGGTGGAACAGCTAGGAAACATTCGATTAAATTCATACAAAAAAGTAAATGGAGCAAAGTTACAGATGTTAAAAATAGTGTATGTGTCAAAAGGAAACATAATTTGGACATAAGTAAAATTTTACCCAATAATTCAAAACAATATGCAATAGGAGAGAAGATTAGTAAATTTGGCTTGATAAAAGTAAAAATTTGACATGGCCAGAAAATATCAAAAGACATCCATAACAATGTCAAACTGGCCAAATAGACGATAGAATTTACAGATGAAGGGCCAGTATTCCCAGTATATTTTTTTATAAAAAGAACTTGGAAATTGAGGAATGGAGATGAAAAATCTAATGGGCAAATAGGGAAAATATGTGATAAATAATTCACATAAAAATAAGATAAGACCTTTCACACAATCTATGATGCCTGCTTATCAGTTTGGCCAAATAAAAAGTTATAGAACATTCATTCTCTCATTGGTAGAAATGCAAACTGGTACAATCTTTATAGCTAAACTTACCTGTAACCTCGCGAAACTGTATATGCATATGTCCTTCAATCTACTAAACCCAGAGCTATCTCCCTCAACGATACAAAATTGTATGTGCACAAGTGTATTCCCTGCAATACACAGTTCATTATTGTCAAATATTGGAAACTATCCATATGCCCATCCATAAAAGAGTGATAAAATTATCTACTTTATGCCAACACAGTCGTTATATGCAGCTGTACACAAAAAAATAAAGAAAGATGTTTAGGAACTGTTAGGAAATTAATATCTATAGCAGGCTACTTTAGTATAAGAAAGAAATATACCTGTATCTGCTTGTTTGTACAAAAGGAAATACAGAAAAAAGAATCAGGAACCAGTGAGATTGATTACCTTTATGGGTAGAGGTTTGGGAATGGTTAGAAGAATGGAGGTGTAGGGCATTTCTCTGATAATTATCTTTTTGTCTAAGTTTGATTTCTAAAACTATACAATATCATACACTCAAAGGGGGGCAAAAGGATAGGAGGAATGAAAAATAGCATATAAATAAAATTAATTATATTTTAACTCCATTTTTCTACTAACTTTTTGAAGGTCCTTCATAAGTGTTCAGTGAATGATTAAGATGTGTCAAGAAGACACGAGCCAAATTATAGAGCCTTTGGCCACATCAAGAGATTTGTCTATTTCAAAAAATTAATAATAATAGTAGCTGATTAAAACAGAATAAATTAAAAACTTAAGAATCCATCACGCAATAAATATATGGATAAGACAAATGCATGGATAGAAGGACTAGAATCTCTGGTGGCATTGTGCGTTGTGCATTGGGCTGCTAACTACAAAGTCAGTAGTTTGAATCCAGGAAGGATCGGGCTTTCTGCTCCAAGAGCTGTAGCTTTAGAAACTCACAAGGATCACTGAGTCAGAATTGGCATGATGACAGTTTACAAAGAGAAAGATAGTAACATTACAGTAGAAAAACCTGCAGCACAAGCTCTTAAGTGATCAAAATTGACAGTAATAGAGATGCCATGCCTCTCGATGATGATGGACTGAGGACACAACATCACTTCTGCTGTATTCCTGCCCCCCAAAACGGTACTGCTGGTAGAATAGCATCACCCAAACCCAGGCTGGGGCATGTTTTATCAAGTAAGTGTTCTGTACTCTTCAACACTTGTTCAGATTGTGAAAGATATTTCAGCTAAATACTAAGGGTAATCATGAATTGGATCCTAGGTTTAGGGTTTGTTTTTTTCCTTCCTTTCTTTCTTAGTAAAGGACATTAGATTGTTATCTGGAATTACAAGTGATGTCAAAGATATGTCATTGGCTTTAGGATATTTAGGGTAAAGAAGCATTACATCCACAATTTACTCTTAAGCTATTCTTAGAGAATAATAAAACAAATATAGTAAAATTGTAATGTTTTGGTATATTAGTATTGGGTATATGGGAATCCTCATATTGTTTTTATAACTTGAATAAAAGTCAAAAACCTTTTTTTAAAGTGTACAGAATCATGTAAAATGTTAATATCTACTGCAAGTAGGCAAAAGGTTCCTGAGTGTATTTCCTCTTCAGTATGTTTAAAGTATTTATCATTCACTGAAGTGGATGCCAGCCCAGAGGATCTAATTTAAAATCGTATAAGATATGTGGTGTTATTTGTCAGTGCAGTGAAGTATGTCAGAGAATGTGTCACTGTAGTCCAGACTTGGGTTCCTATATGAAGTTTTTGCACATCAACAACTAAATGAGAAATAGCCTAGAGTAATAGTGAGGTATTTGGTGGTGGTGGTGGTGGAGGAGGTTTTTTTAATTTAAAAGATTCTTCTTTATGGTGAGATGTTAATTTGGAGTATTTTTTATTTTTCAAATATCCTTTTTTGGGAAAATAAAAGATAGCAATATTATATTTACCACCAGATACCTGGTTTGTGAAGTCTAGGAGTAGGAGAAGTTTTTGTTCCTTTTTAAATGTGTTGTCTGAGAACAGTAGATTCATTATTAACAATTATTATTATTATCTTTATACCATTTCCTCTCCTAATAGTTGCTAATAGAAATGACCAATTTGTTTAAAGGTAACAAAGATAATAGCATACCATAATCTAGATTTTGTACCCATAAGAAAAGCATCTTTGATATAATTGAAAAAACTTAGTTCAAATGTTTTCTTCTTTTTTCCTCGTTTTAGGGTAAACATTGTATCCTCGATGTGTCTGGAAATGCCATCAAGAGATTACAGATTGCACAACTTTATCCAATCTCCATTTTTATTAAACCTAAATCCATGGAAAATATCATGTAAGTGTGACTGCTTAAGGCACGGTCTGCAAATACAAATCCATTCTCTGTCACTTACTAGCCTGAGTAATTTGCTTAACCTTCCTGCAGCTCTGCCATTTGAAAAATCAAAGGATATACAAGGGTACTTGGAAAAGTTTATGGAGAAATTGAATTAAAAGATAAAAATGTTTAATGGAAGCTAAAGAACTAAGGTTCCTGGCATAACTATATCAAGGCAGTCTGTTTTGTATTATTTTATAGTGTTAGTTATTATATATTTTATGGAACCTTAAAGATGTTTTTTAAGATCAGGAAACAAAAAGAAGCTAGAAAGAGCCAAACCAGAACTGTAATGATATCCCATGAAAACGTTGTCTCATGAGTGGAATGAGTAAACACATTTGCATGGTGGAGACTCTAGTGAAGCTTTCTCGGGAGTTTTCCTGCTAAAGTTACTTTCCCCCAAACACTCTCCAAATAAGCAGATGTTAACATTCTTTGGCCCTCTGGAAAGTCAACAAGCAAAATGCCTTGAGCATCCAAAAAATATCTGCCATGACCTTTGCTCTGGACCAGTGTACTTTTGCTTTGATTGGATCACTTCCACCTCAAAGTAGCCATTGCTTTGATTATGCTTTGCCATATTCCATCTCCTATTCCATTTCTTCGAAGAAATACTTTAGGAACTTGATTCCACTTGTTTAAAATTCCCATGAAAAGCCCTGCTGTGGCTGCAGCTGAACTGGACACAGCAGTTGGTACCCATGAAGCAAAAACTCTGCTCAACTTTTTCAGAATTGTATAAGCTGAACCAACTGAAACGTGTATGGTGTTGGTTTTTGTTTCTGGTGTTAACTGCTGTTTTTCAGGACCATGGACAAGATTGCTTCCTCAAAAACTGATGTGTCTGGTCTGCCGCATGACCATCCGTTTGTAAATTGCTGATTTCTTCAGGGCAGTGTCCCTATAAGCTTGTCTTAAAGCATCAGTGATTTCACCATTGTTCCATCCAAGCTTCGCCGTAAATTTGATATTTGTTCTTCAGTTTTAGTAGAATTCACATTGCTCTGCTAACGAACTTTTTTCATACTGATGCCTTACCCTTCTTAGTGCCTCAAATTTTAGATCCTGTTAGGATATGTTACAAGTTAGTACAAGTTTATTTTGTACAATAATGTAGCAACCACAGATTCAAGACTGGTTGGGCATTGTAAAATCAATTTGTGTAACATACCTCAGTAACAGATTATCAGAAGACTCATACGATCATTTAGTCAATACAAGGGGAAAAATCAACATCTTTTTATAATCAAACACATTAATCTGAATGTTAAAAAATATAACAATAAACTGTGGAAAACTTCCACTGATGTTGGGGACAAGCAAACATTCCTACTATCACCAGATTGTACTGCAGAGCTAGTTAATGAAATTAAGTCAAAAGATCCAAAACAAAACCAAACTCACTGCCATTGAGTTTATCTCGACTCTTAGTAACCTAGACAGAGCAGAACTGCTCCTTGGTGTTTCCAACAGTGTAAATCTTCATGGGAGCTGACAGCCTCATCTTTCCAGAAGTGGCTGCCAACCTTGCAATTAGCCGCCGCCCAAGCTTAACCAAGTGTGCCACCGACGAAGCATAAAATTCATTATTCACAGATCATTTGGTTATATATGTAGGAGCTTCAAAAAGTTTGTGGGAAAATGGAAGTGGCAAGTGTGAAGAATGAGCACAGAGAACGAAGACTGTTTCACTCACCTGGACATTCAGAAATTAAATTTTGCTTTGAATCTTGAGACCTGTATGCTTTCAGAAAACTCTTCTCTGCAAAGAAGGGGGCGGGGGGCGTTTCAAATGTTAAAGCCTGTTGTGAATTTATTTATCCTCAGATTAGCATTGTTAGTGCATTAAATCTATTAAATTTACCTTTTAGTTTAAAAGATAGTGGAATTTTTCCACTTAATATTTAAGCCCCCTCATAAAAAGAATAGAAAAAATACAAAAGCATCTCTAGATAAGTTAGTAGAATTTTTTTAAAGTAAGGCTTCCAAATACAAGGTCACCATATGAAAACAAATTTTCTACCAACCAACAAGAAATAAGTGGAAAATGAAATTTTTAAGAGATCATTTTCCATTTCTGCCATACCCCCATGGGGAGCCTCTGCTGTCTGTCATTAGAGGGCTCAGGCGTGGGCTTGGTTAGCAGGGCAGATGATATTATTAGCAGAACCGTATCTCTCCCTGTGCACGCTCTCGCTCTCTCTTTCTCTCTCGGCTCGCTCTCTCTGTTAAATTGTGTTCCTCTGTTGGTATCACACTCAGTTGTTAGGCTCCACTAGTTGCAAACTGATGGCTCTATTTCTGACAATGCTCTGGGGGGAAATTGCTTCACAATCTGATTTTATTAAATCTGTGCCCCTTTGCACAAGTCATACTTACGGGTCAGTATTTAAGTTTGTTCTGATATCAGGAACTCTATTTACCCATCTTTTTGGTTCTCTCTGATTGGCCTACAGTTTAATTTGTGGCTCCCAAGGAGCTGCCAGTCACTTACTGTCGAGCCACCACAATTTCTGTTGCTTTTGAAACCATGCTTCGGTTGGAACTTCCCCACGCTCTGTTCAAAAGTTAGTTTCTTTGGGGAGCAAAGAGCTCAGAGCTCTCAGTCCTAGGGGCTGCTTTTCCACTGCACCAAAAAATTCTTTTGTTTCTCAGTCAGACCTGGAGACTATAGCAGTGGCCTTATTCTCTAGAAGTGACAGTGATGGGTGGGGGTGGTAGCATCCAGTCTTCTCAACTTGCCTCTCCATAGAACTTCTTCAGGAGCCACCAGGGGAGAGAGCGCTTAAACCTCAAATATTCTTGGCTCGGCACTCTGGGACTGGGGCTCAATGGAAAAAGGGAGCACAAAACTGGAATGAGAAATGCCAGCAGACTGCCTCTGTTAGATTGCACCCTCTTCTAATCTCTTAGGTGATTAGAAGTAAGGCGAGGGAGCCCTGTCTTCTTGACCAAATCCTTCTAGATGTGAGCTTCCATCATGCCCAGCTCGTGGGCGTCGTTCGTGACTCAAGTGCCGCAGACTCAGTAATCTTACTAAGATTAGTAGATCCCTTGAATAAATGTTTCTGTTTTTTGCTATGCTGTGTGCTCTTAGGACATTTTCAGAGACTACATGGGTTAAGTTTGCAGAATTCCTTAAGCCACCATTCTGGAAATACCAAAAGTACCATGATAGCCATTCAGTCGCAGCTGAACTACTTTAAGTGACTGAGCACTCAAACCTTTCATAACTACCTAATTGTATCATTGACTGGACAGAGCTAGAGACAGTATACAGCATCACTTAATAAAAATAAATCAAAAACACAGTTACATTTAGCTTTACTCTAGGAAAGCATTTTCGTGAAATGCCAACTCTGATTATGCTTTGTTGAGAAAAGTCATGATTTTTTTCACACATAGTGCTTCTCTGTATCAGACTATATTCCAAGTGTTTTTTGTATTCAAATATACATCTCAAAAACTATATGAAAGTAAATGTTATTGATATTTCAGAGCTGCAGAAACTAAAGCAAAGAATGGTTAAGTAACTTGCCCAGGGTCTAACAACTAATAATTAGTGAAGTAAGAATTTTGAACATACGTTTTCTGTATCTTCTTTTGTCATATTTTCATTAAAATGTAGTAGCTATCTATATCATTCTCTAAATGTATTTGCATAGGGAAATGAATAAGCGCCTAACAGAAGAACAAGCCAGAAAGACGTTTGAGAGAGCCATGAAACTGGAACAGGAATTTACAGAACATTTCACAGGTTGGCATCATGTGTGATATGATACCCTTTATGGTAGAATTTAGCTTTGAAGCCACAGAACTAAAACCCTGAAATGAATTTTGGACTATCTACCATTAGTAACTAATACAGCTTTTGTGGGGGGTTTACATATGGGAATGGGGATTTTTTTTTTTTTTAATTTAGTGGTTTTTAGATTTTTAAGTTAGGCTATAATATGATCAGAGAAAATATTATTCAGACTTGGTTTCTTCTGTGATACTCAGATTTTTCTTCTATTCGTTATATATTTTGATCCATTCAAGCATTATTTGTTTAAAAAAGGAAGAAGTACTCAGTGATTCCCATATAGTTTTCGCTCACTTATTTTGTCTTTTAAGTTATTCCTTTGAGTATCTGTGGACAGACTTCTGTCGTTGATGTTTTTATTTTAAATGGATGTCTGTCCCCACGTCGGTGGTGTTCATATTGAGTACCAGTAAAGGTCATGAAGGAGCCCTGGGATAGAGAGATGGAAATATCACCTTCAAAAATGATAGGCCTAAGTGGAGGATATGTCAAGAAACAAAAGCTTCACATTTTGGTATTTTTATTTGATAAAGGTGCTTATGATTTTGCAGCAATATTTTTGGACTTACCCTTAAGAAAAACTACAGATTTTCTTCTGATTTTGCCAGTTATCCCACAATTGCCATCATAGCAGAGAGAGAAAGTTCTTTTCTTATTCCAGAATCTAGTCTATGACCACATGCTTTATTAAATTATCACATCTTTAGACTTTTTCATCGGGGTACCTCCCCGGTTTATCTTTCTTATTCATGACCTTAAAAACTAATTATTTTGTAGAATTCTGTCCTATGTTTTAAATGCCTTGTATTTCCTAGTGCTTAGATTTAGGTTATGTATTTTTGTTGGGAATATAAAAGGTGTGTCCCATCTGTGCCCCATACAAGGAGGTCCATCCTCAAGAATGCTAGTAATTTGAGTCATTTGAGCATGTCCTTAGCAGAATGCTGTGCCAGTTATCTCTTAAGGAGAATTGTTTTACTAGCCATTCCATTGAATGAATTTACAAAGTAAGCAAAATGTACCGCATATACTCGAGTATAAGCCTACCCGAATATCAGCGGAGGCACCTAATTTTACCACAAAAACTGAATTAAAAATGTGCTGGAAAACTCGGCTTATACACAAGTATATACAGTATGTTTCCCAAGTCAAATTACTGAATAACTCTTTCCTCTAAAGTAAGTTCTTATCTGTGCTGTTAGGATGCATTAAGATGCCAAACTTCAGAGCCAAGTGTTTTGTCAAAGGAACTTTGTTTTCCAGGACAAAAGCCAAATCCACTGTTGTCTGGTTGATTCCGACTCATAGCAACCAAACGGCCTATCGATATTTAGCTTAAAATAGGAACTCTCTCAGAGCTGATATCATTAAATACTGTTATTTATAATTCCTGATTTTTCATGCATTCTTAGCCACCTAAGTTGTCAGCCCTCCTTATACTCCATCAGCCTACTTGTACATGCAGAATTTCAGTCTCCAAGTGAATAATTTTTGTAAAATCTCCATGTGATATTTTATGCTATTGAGGTGTTTTGAGGTCATGGAAATCCTTATCTATGATGCTCTTCAAAATGACTCTTTTGTTGGTGTTATTTTCAGGGTTTTGTTTGCTTTATTCTGTACTTTTTCATTTATGCATAAACATTCCCTTTTTTTCTTCTTAAAACCTTAATTCATGCTTAGTGTCTAGTGAGATTCCAACAACTTTTTTAGGTTTTTTTATTAACTGATTCCCACATCCTCACAGACCTCTGTCTGGGACTCCCAACTATCCCCAAAGGATTCTTTAATAATAATTATGACCATTTTTTTATTCACACATTATTTCAGGGAGCAATTAAATCACCCAATATTAATTTTAATAGTTTCTAACCACTAAAACACCAGATGATGTATCTTAATTTACCTACACTATAGCACCTGGCAGTTACTAGCATACTGAAGAAAATAGTAGCAAATAATCTTTAATCAGCTGGTTTTCCCTAAAATCTTACCCCTAAAATAAAATAAAACTAATATAGCCATGATTTGTACCCACAGTCTTTTTTCCTTTCTATATACATTAACTCAAAAGTACACTCGTTGCTAGTGAGACAGTTCTGACTCTTAGCAACTCTGTGCGTTCCCTCTGTGAGAGGAGAATACCTCAGTTTTCTCCCCATTTCTATATATACTTGGGTTGAAATTAGAAAAGTCAAAGCAGCACTTGTATTACTACATGTTCAGATGATTAATAAAACAATAAGACAAGATAAAAAATATCACCAGTGTCAGGTTTGGTATCAATTTTTAAACAAATTGTATGCATTTGATGAAACCAGCAGTTTTTTCCTTTGTTAAGAATACGTGGCTTGGGAGAGGGGGAGGTGGGGGGAAGGGAAGAGGTGTTAACAAACCCAGGGACAAGGGAACAACAGGCGATCCAAATTGGTGGTGA